TGAATTTGACTTATCTTTCTGTTTTAAGAGAAATGTAGGTGATAAACATCAAAAACACCTGAACAAATGCTTTCACTGTACACAGGGCTTCATTCAGAGCGTGTAACACATCCAGGGTTCACATCCTATTGCTTCTAGGGGGTCATTTTTTACCTCACTTTACCTCACTAATCAGCTAAATCTGTTCCTCTATCTTCTATCACCTCCATATTGTGCTGTATTTGGAGTCTGGCAGTTTCATCATTTTCCATTTAAAGGATGATGAACAGATTACATCTCTTGAGTTGTTTCTTCATGTCCTGTTTAGGCCTTGCCTGCTGTGTTTGGATTGCCTTCAGTTATGCGCATTTACCTCCATTTAGAACCTAAACCAAATCCTCACAGGACATTCCTGTTGTGTGAGCCTTAGGTGCTTCTGGTTTTCACTAATCCCCTTTGAAAAATAGGCTCGACCACCCCCAGCGGTAAAGTGTGAAGCCTTGCTAGTCTACCCTTGCTATGTTAAACATTTATAGTCTAAGCTAATCAGCATTGCTATGAGATGCTGCAGTTTGCTTTCCAAAGCACGTCGTCATTCAGCACTAAAACCCACCTTTTCCACTGTCCTCACAGACAGGATGACAAACCAGCCGACAGCCAACCAGTCCAACGCAAACAAGGAGAAGGAGAAAGAAAACCAGCGAGATGACAACACAGAGATTGCGTATAAAGATGCTGGCCATTGTAGCCGCAACACACACAACCTGCTGCTGGGACTCACGGTTATGGGTACATATGAAAAGAAGCACTCAGGCGATGCCATGATGAGGGCACAAGTTGAAGAAATACTGGAGCAAAACAAGCCTTTGTTTTGCTTTTATGCACATAGTTTAACACTCCAAATTCCCACATGTTTTACTGAATGACTAGAATTACAACTGAGGTTAGTTTTATTGTTAAAAAAAAGAAAAGGACCAATTTATGCTGCAGCAAAAATTACCACACGCAAACCTTGATGTAAATACTCCGAGATCATTTTCCCATGAGATGTCTTAGGCTTGTTGTTGTCTTTGCTCTGCCACTGTAAACACTTTGGTATGTTTCTCCACAGCTGTGTGTTTTGTCAAAAAAAGCCTGCAGAGTCAAGGAGTGTGTTATTTTTGTCTGCAATTTGTCACATAGATTTAAACCTTGATATGAACTTGTTTACATTTCAGTAGATGGCTCTCATTAGTCAGCGATCTCTTGCATCTCCAACGTTAAACACAGTGTTAGGGGCCCTCACAAAAAAGGCTAATGAGTCCGCCGAAAGGTTATAAACTGAGGGTGATTTCTGACACGGTTAATATTACTACTGAGTTTTACATATTTGTGACATTTGGAACTCATTTTTTAAACCAATATTCATTAGATTTTTAAATGTGCACATAAGGTAGTGTTTAGGCATGCGTTTCGACTTGTCTGGAAACTAAAACAATAGCCTGTGCTATTATGGGACTTTTTGAGGCATGGAAACATAGTATGCCTTTTTAATGGTTTGGGAAATGAATGCAGACATGATTGGCTAAACAACTGCTGCACAAAAACAAAACTCTGTAATTAGCTTATTTTTTTCCGCTCCTCAGGCGTCGTTATGGGAGCCGTTTTTGGGATGATGCTGCGGTACATGCAGGTGACAGACAGCGCCGCCCTCACAATGGTTTCCTTTCCTGGAGAAATCCTTATGAGGATGCTGAAGATGCTCATCCTGCCTCTTATCATCTCCAGCCTTATCACAGGTGTGGCCGTTATAGACAGCATCATGCTGGTTTTAATAAGTTAAAAAGTAACCAATACTGTGTTAACACTGTAACGGATGATTGTCCAGTGTGTGCATAATTTAGGGCACACTCATTGTCCCCAGTGATTACTAACCAACTACAACCTCATACTCCTGAACTTTAACCATAATAAACTAAACTAAACATGTTAATATGTTAACTGTAGAAAAATTTAAATTCTGACATTAGTAGAACTAATGGACTATTGCATGTACATGTAGTCTACAGGACTACGTGTACTTATTAGTCAGAAGTTACCATATTTGGACAAAAGGGTGGATTTCTGTTATAACCTAACTCAAGCAAATGAACTCTACCAAGTTTGGTTAGGAAGGTGCATCTAAGACTGTATGGGAGCGTCACACAAACATACACAATGTAGGTAAAAGTATTGAGCCACTCCTCTTATGGTGTGTTCCATCTGAAGCTGGAAATTGGAATTTCGTAGTTGGATTTTCCAACTGGAACATTCCCCTCAAGTCGGACTTCCAAATCAGAAAACAACCCCACCAACCTTGACTTGATGGCAGCCCATGTAAATATTAATGAAACTGTAAAACTCGTACTCTGCCACTGCACTGCCACTGTTGTGTTGATAAATAGGTCACAAATACACAGTTAATAAAAATCTGCAATCTACAATAAGAAGTGCCCAGTTCTGCTTAAAATCCGCCGTAAAATCTCTCCTTAAAAGAGTCCCAGTTTTGAAGGTGGACCCTTTGGAAATTAATTGCAATCTCTTCAGCTAGACTCTATTTGTGAATATGCTGCATGTTTATAAGCACAAAAAAATAAAGAACCATTCCACTGTATTGCTAGTGATATATGAAGCAAAAAGAAATCCAGTATTTCATAGCTTTTCTGACTTTGCTACTGGAACACAGTGAATTCAGGACTGATAGCTCCAGCATCCAAGGCAAAAGCAATGCTGCATTAATTTTTGAATTCAAGTGTTTTCAGTCCCATCGTCACAGGTGTATAAAATCAAGGACCTACCCATGCAGTCTGCCTTTGCAAAAAATCGGTTTTTCTAAAAAGCTCTCTGAATCTGCTTGTTGTCCTGTAACAGGATTCCACCTTTGCAACAAGTTGGTTTGTGAAATTTCTTGCATCGTAGATATTCCACAAGCATCTATAAGTGGTATTATTGCAAGTGAAAACATTCAGTAATCACAGCAGCTCAGTCATGACGCTGCAGACCTATAAAGTAACAGAAACAGGGTCAACAAGTGCAAAAGTCTTAATATCTGCAGCGTTCCAAACCTCGTCCAACATTAACATCAGCACAAAATCTGTATGCTGGGAGCTTCGCGGTATGGGTTTCCATGGCTGAACAGCTCCTGCACGTGTTAAGGATTTAAGTAAGTAACATGCAATTTAAATGCTCGAATTAAGGAGGAAAACAGACATATAATATCAGTTATGTATGCTCTAATATTTCTCATGTAATTGGATAAAAATACTCCAGAAATCATCAAACTCACAGCCAGTTTAGTGACTGAAATTAGAAAACCTAGCAGGTAGCTAGCCAGCTAGAGCCACCTGAGTTGATTCATGAATTAGCATGTGAAAAGCTAAAAACTAAAAAGCCAGCGGTTTATCCAAAAAACATGTATCAAACTTTAAACACTCTACAGGAAGTGTTTGCAGTTTAAAGTACTGGGAAACTCGAGCTTCGAGGTAAAGACGCTGTTATTGACTCTGTGGACTTGGACACACGTTGTTTTAAATCTGTTGTCTGTCTCTTGTAGGGCTTGCTGGTCTAGACGCGCGCTCCAGTGGAAGGATGGGTAGCCGAGCCATGGTGTACTACATGTCCACCACTGTAATCGCTGCCGTCCTCGGGGTCATCCTGGTGTTGGGGATCCACCCAGGGAACCCTAAACTGAGGGGAGGCAACTCATCATCCACATCCACGAAAAACCAGGAAGTCAGCAGTCTGGACGCTTTCCTTGACCTGATTCGAAACCTCTTCCCAGAAAACCTGGTGCAAGCCTGCTTCCAGCAGGTACCCTCCACATTAACCATCTACTGCTTCATTATCTTGGCTCATCTTGAACCATAAGCTTTCACGCAAACTGAAAATGTTAATATAAACATAGCAAAGAAAGATTCTTGACTAATACGTTTCCTTTTAATAAAACGCGAGTGTTCCCCAGTATTGCTTTGCTGGGACTTTCAGCATCAAAGCTTTTGGTAAGGCTCTACATTCCTTATATGAAATTTGCATCATTCAGCTTTAAGGTGATGATAATCAAACTACACTGAATAGAGAAAAAAAATGGTAAATAAATAATATCTGAAGTTTATTAAAATTGTATTTTTGTTTTTCAAGATAAATTTCCTCTTTAATTTGAGTGAATGTTCACAGACATCGCTTCATGTGCTGCATGTGCTTCATGTTAATAGTTGCAAACTACAGATTTAAGTTTCCAAAACAGCTACCACTTGGATCCTGAATTGTGATTGTTTTGTCAGCGATTGTCAACAATTATTATTGCTAATAATTATTATTCAAAGTGTATCATATTGGAAAGTCTTGCTTGTGCCCCAGGCCACATTTGAGGAGATGAACTTTTCTGGATAAGGGATTACTGAGCAGTTTGAGAGAATGAAGGACTCGGACAGAGTTCTTAAAAACTTATGGTTCTCCAGAGAGGTTAGCTGTTCTCCAAACTTCATACGTAACAATTTTTACATATGTTGTCTGGACTGATTCAAAGGCTTCATTTGGCTAGAAAGAGGCTAAGAGGCCACGCAACTCTTTGGACTGTTGGAGGAAGCCAGGGTACTCACGGGAGACCTCACGCAGGTGTGGGGAGAGTATGCAAACTCCACACAGAAAGATCACAGGAGTCAAAGCCAAACCCATCCCCAGCAGGGGTGGGCAACTCATTATCTAAAGGGGCAACATGAAAAACTGGGACTGGTGTGGATTGCTGCAGTAATAAACTTATAAAATTAAATTAATATTAAACAGAAATGAGTCCAGATCATTGGTGCAGATCTCCACAACAGTTCTAGGACAGTTTGTTGCCCACCCAGGGCCCAGAGTGTAATAATCTAGTTTAAAACAAATACTAATATAGAGCTTATCAACTGAACCACTGAAAACACGTCTTACATACTAAAAGAAGATAAATCAGTGCCATTGCAATTCATCAAGTCATTTATAAAATAGATCTAGGGTTGCTTTTTTCCATTCTTTGTAATGTATTGTGAGTTAGTGCTAATGGTGCCGTCGAAGAGGGACAATTCAGGAAGCGGCTTGTGTTTTTGTGATGCTGCAGTTGCCTTCTTCTGTCCAATCCTGTTTTTTCTGTCATGCGTGTTCGTCTGAATGATTAGAAGTAGTTGTCTGTGTTTGACTGGGCGATGGTCAGCCGTCCTGCAGCTACCGCTAATCTCTTTACAGCTGCAAAGCCACATACTTATTTAGTGCAGTAAGGCATCTGCTGGTGAACCGAGAGCTTTATTTCTGTCTGCATCTTTATTTTAAACTGCGTCTTTGTTCATATTCATCAGGAATTCAGTAAATTCATGTAAGTCACCGCTTTAGCAGCAGGGAATTGTCCTCCCCCTTTCAGCCTTTTCGTCTCCTTTTTCTTTCCCTTTGTTGTATTTATGTTTCTCTTTTGCCTTTTCTTTAAACAGAAATCAGAGCACGCCCGTGCCGCTGCCAAAACTTTGTTTGTTCACACACAATGGGAGTTACAAAATCTAAGCACCCCAGCACAAACCACAGAATAATCTGAATGTCGCCCCGTGTTTCCTTCAGGTTCAGACGGTGCTGAAAAAGGTGCCGGTCGCAGCACCAAACCAAACTGAGCCCATATTAGTGAACAGAAAAAAACTGGAATACAAATGGGGCATGAACGTCCTCGGTGAGTTGATAACAGAGTTCGTATTGCGAGACGCTTGCGTTTTCCAGGTCTCTTTTTGGTTATTTGTTCTCATTTTTCCACTTACTCGCTTGCTTTGTGTTTTCGTCAAGGTTTAATTGGCTTCTTCATCACCTTTGGGATCTGCATGGGCCGGATGGGCGAGCGTGGGAAGGTCATGTGTGACTTCTTCAACATCCTCAATGAAATTATCATGACGATGGTGTCCATGATCATGTGGTCGGTGTCTTGTATTCCTTCATTCGTATTTGTGTGTCTGTGTTTAAAAAGTGCGTGCCTCTGTTTTTCCTCTTGGTGGCCAACGTTTGACATTTTGGTGATACCGCATACAACGGTCGGAGACAGTGATGGATAAGGCGAAGACTGTGTGCTTGAGGCAAATTGTGGGAACAAGCAGCAAGGTCAGATAGAAAAAAAAACAAAGAGGAAGAGGGAGAAAGTGTGTCAGTGAAGGACACAGACAGATGGAAAGTGGGAGAGGGTTTCCCTGGGACATGCTGGAGTCTGTGGTATGCTGGGGAGTAGCAGGAGCCGGGGCCCGGAACGGCGTTGTGGGCTCCCAGGGGAGCCGCGGTGGAAGATCTCCAGAATGTAATGGATCCATCGATGACAGAGGAGCTACTTGGTGGCAGAGCAGAAAGCAGATGCGGGCAGGAGGGACGTAAAAAGATGCGTGTGAGAGCATTCCTTCAGAGAGCAGTGCACGTCTTGAGGCTTCACAGAGCCCAGGCAAGTGGCGCAGAGAAAGTGTAGCGGTACTCGGAGCGGGGATGGGAAAGGAAAGGAGGAGTAGAGTAGGCGGTTGGACGAGAAACAGCAGGATGCTTGTCTCGCAGCTCCTCTAAGCCTCCTCTACATGTGCAGCTGGACACCAAAGGAACTGTATCATTGTCTGTATCACTCACTCAGTGTAAACAGATTACTCACGGGCTTATGGTGCGAGCCAAACACAGATTCCAGTGTATACAAAAAGCACGCATCATACAAGGGGCATATCTATCAAATCATATACATGGCATACCGCACCAAACAACTGTCACTGGATGCCAGCTGACCTAGGAGAATGCACCGTCTCATGATGGGACAAGGAGTCGCTTTAATTCAAGTGTCCCAATAACTGCAGTCTGTATTCATGAACAGGGACAACTGCTCTCCAGAGCTGGAAACCAGAGATCCAAGCATGTGTCCTGTCCCCTTGCAGAGAAACGTGCTTCTTTGACAGTGACTAAAGATTTATGAGGTGGCGAAAACGTTGGCCTGACATTAAAAAAAAGTAACAGGGTGGCTACAGCTCCTTAAATATTCTTAAAATATCTTAAATTCACATCAATTTATAAAAGGCTTTGTAAAATTTATAGTCATGTCACCACATGGATTACTAGAACACAGTGCCACCATTTCTGCGGCATTGTTTATTGTTCTGCTATCCCATTTAAATGTGTTTTATATGTGTAAATATAGTTAATGGCAACAGGACGCTTATTGGCTAATTATTGGCTTATTTAATGGTTGTTGTGTCAGAAAACATCTTAAAATACTGAAATGCGATCCTGGCAGTAACATGCAGACATGGTGAGTTCACTGACAAACAGCTAAGGTGGTAACCACCAATAACTCTTAGTGGTTGAAGCCAGTTCATAGAAATATTTAATAGGACAATAACACTGCATGTGAAACATTTTTTTTTAATGTTTGGGACGGTGACAATGATTATGTTGTTTTCACATTAACACACACTTGTGTTCCTAAACAAAGCCATTTTTTGTCTTTTTATTTTTGTGTGAACTTTTGTGCTTGACTATATATATAAAGTTTGTATTTTCCATTACAGGTTTGATCTTAAATATTATTTTAAAGAATAGTAAAGTAGAAAGAGTAGCCTTCAAAAGACCTGTGGACACCTTGTCCTTTGTTGTAATTCATCCATAATTAATAAATTAAGTCAATCAAATCAAACAATTTCTGCCTTCAAATGGCTTTGTTGCTTATTGGACAGTTTAAAAAAGCAGAAAGAAATATTCATGTACATACACATATATAGTGTATCCTAAATGGAGTTTAATGGAACATAAACCATAATCAGTCCCAATCAAATAATTTCTGCTGTGATGTCTTTGTCCAGGTACTCTCCTGTCGGCATCGCCTCTCTGATTGCAGGAAAGATCGCAGCTATCGGGGACCTGGAGGTGGTAGCCAGGCAGCTGGGCATGTACATGGTGACTGTCATTGTGGGTCTGGTGATCCACGGGGGCTTGATCCTACCCGCTATATTCTTTGCAATCACCAGAAAAAGCCCCTTTGCTTTCTACTCTGGGATCTTCCAGGCATGGATCACAGCCTTGGGCACTGCTAGCAGGTATGACAGCTTGCAGGAAGTGCATATGTATGTTTGGAAGTCGTCTGTTTGGGCATGTGTTCACACATGTGTGTCACACATTTCTTTTACAACACGTATTGCTTGGACAGCTGTTGTAGTTACCGTGATTGATCGGCGTAGCCTGCTACTCGCTTTCAGCTATTTGGGTTAAATCTGAAAGGCCTGAAGGCAAAAATCTGTATTTATGCAGCTACACTGACAAATCAGGACAGCAGAGCCAAAGCGCAGGCTATCATAGACGAGTCCATGTCGGACAGATTCTGTGTTGTAAGTATCTAAGCCTTCGGATTAGTTGCCACCAGCCAAACTGGCCCCGCTGTATCCTGCCCGGCTTGGCTTGGCCCAGCCTGCCTGGGATTCAGCATTGCTGCTGAAACCAACTGTTATTTTGGCACATTACTGAGGCTTTAGTGAATATGGGTAATCCTATCAACGTTTTCTCTAATTATATTATGACCCGACCTCAGCGGGGCCGGGAATCAAATTCCTTTAATTCACATGTTGGAGGATTGAAACAGTGGCCTACCCCAGCTGTTAGGACGAGGCTGTCGGCCGACTCAAATTTCTCCTGCCTTTTTTAATTGTTGTCTCTTCCCTTCGCCCTCACCTCTGCACTTATGCCTTTCACCACCTGTCTGCCTATTTTATATCCCTCAGCAGACACTTTGCGCCTGCTCCGAGTACATCTGCACCTTTTTTCCCTCTAACTCGCCTTCTTGTGTGGCCTTCTTCTTTCAGCGCCGGAACATTGCCGGTCACCTTTCGCTGCCTTGAGGAAAATCTGAAGATTGATAAGCGTGTGACTCGCTTCGTGCTTCCCATAGGTGCCACCATTAACATGGACGGCACTGCCTTGTACGAAGCCGTGGCCGCCATCTTTATTGCCCAAATGAATGACATCACCCTGGACTCTGGGCAGATCGTTACTGTCAGGTAAACCACATGGTGACTTGACTCTCATGACTCAGGTTTCATTATCAGAAAGCAGCACCGCTGAGGCGCCGCTGCTCTTTCTCCCACATCAACTATAAGCCTTTAATAGTTTCTTTACTTGGCTGCTTCTGAAGATGCCTTACAGCATCTTTGCCAGCCAGCTATTCGTTTCCAAAACCAAGAGCAAAAAACATTTATCTTCTACTTAACCTACTCAGATTCCAAGCACTGCTTTTTCTTCTATTTACATTTTTCATAAAAGAAACAGAACAAACCAAAGTGGTTTTAATATCTATACACTGGACCTTAACCAGTCCACACAGCGGTACAGTGGTTAGCAATGTAGTTGCACACAAGAAAGTTCTGGATCTGCACCTCGAGGTCAGCTGGGGCCTTCCCGTGTGGAGTTTGCATGTTTTCCCTGTGCCTGCGTGGGTTTTCTCCGAGTGCTCCAACTTCCTTCCACTGTGCAAAGGCTTGCATTTTAGGTTGATTGGTCTCTCAGAATGGGCTCAGGGTGTGGATATGAGCAAGAATGGTTGTCTTGTCTATCTGGTTTGCAGCGCTGTGATGAACCGATGACCTTTGCAGGAACCAACATCCCTCGCTCAGTGTCATCTGGGAGAAGCTTGAGCTACCCTGCAACGCTAGCTAGGCGTGCAGTTTATAAAGAGGATGGACTGACTTTTGTAGAAAGTGTCCAGTATACAAACATTTGCATTGATTATTTCAACACACAGAATGTTTTAGTTACCAACAAAATCAGAAGTGACGCAACATGAGATGCAAATAAATAATAAAACTTTATGCATATATTCTGATTCTACATATACATTTAAATTTGTGCTGATATTGACGTGCTTAAGCATGGATGTTGGAGCACCTTTGAGGCCCTTGTGACAAGCTGTTTGTTGTCTTTTTGTTGTTGTTTACGCCATCAGCTGAGTAAACTAGGTGGTAGAAGGTCATGTGTTTAGCCAGAGCAAAAAGCACCTGGCACAATTTACTCACATGCTGTGGCCAAAAGCAGGATGGGACAGGAAATTGTGGGGGTGTGAATGTAAACATAAACCGATGTGCACATTAGTGTAAGTAGCCTCCATCACGGTCTCTGTCACCTGATTGCACCAGAACAGGTTCCTTTTTTGTCCTGCTCTCTGTTATTTTTCCTAAGAAGGATATTAACAAACAATATTCCCTGAATGCCGTGTCAGCCCGTCCTGCTGTAAGGTTTTTGTGTCAAAGTTCATTCTGATTCAAATATTAGTAAAAAGGGAAAAATATCAATTATGTTCTGACTCATCCTGAAGTCTCTCGTCCTGCGTCAAACATAGATGAATGGAAAGTGACGTTTGACTTGACTGTATATAAAAGATGGACATGTTTTGGAACCAGAAGTGACTGCAGCTGGACAAGAGGAGCGCTAAGTTTCCAGCTAACACCTAAAGCTTGTTTAGCAATCTGCATCTGTAGCTTTTATGCCTGCACAAATACCAGCTGATTAGTGTTAGGCAACATTCAGATAAATTACAAATAATTTCACTCATCAAATGTCTCGGTGCATCTTTATCGAGAAACCAGCAACACAAACACATTGGAACTCGTTCATTCATTTTCTTTTCTGCATTTACAGAAGTGTACAGCCTGCATGCTTTAGTTCATTTTCAAACAACTTGCATCAAGTATGTTACGAGGTATAGAAATAAATATGGAAGGAAGTAAAGAAATATTCATCTCCCATTTCTGAGGTTTGAGCAGGGGATTGGATCCAGTCTGCTTGGATCAGATTCTGCTTGTTGTGGCCGCGGGTTACAAATAACGCTCAGCACTTTGAAGTTGTTTATTGTGTGTCTTTCATCAACGGCTGTTTACCACGAAATCGAATTTTAAGAAAATGCTGTATGGTTTTTGTGTGATGAAACTGAAATAAAATCCATATGTACTACATAAATCTGCCCCACTTAATCTCCCAGTCACAGCGTGGTGATAATTGGCACTGCAGTTTGTCAGACACAATTGAGATGTAACTAATAACAGATGAATAGCTTCATGCAGTAAATATCACAGTTTAGAGCTGTATCCAAACTGGCTGGCCTGCAGGCCCCTGTGGTTACTGATAATTCTCTAATTGCAGACATGCAATGACAAGCAGCATTTTTCAGAGTCTTTAAAGTTTTACTTTAGGAAACATCTTTTGTTGTGGACAGAGGAACTGAGTCCTTTCTATCCTCATGTACTTTATACAAGCATTGCATTGATGAAATACACGTAAATGAGCTCACATAAATCCGAGACTCGTTGGTGTGTGATGTTGAGAAACAGAATACTGGACCACTCCATGTGTAAATCTTTGTGGGTGGAGACAGATTAGGGTTTTTGATTTTTTTATATGGTGATATTATAAACACGTAAAACTAAAACTCACCTCTCGCTACAATTTAAAGTCTTTAACTTTAAGCTAATTGTGCTTTTGGCTGCCACATGACTGACTAAACATGCTGAATCAGCAGTGAAAGCATGAATTGGTGAGTTCCAATATTAAATGTGGTTTCGGTTAAGCCTTTTCTGGTGTTTCAGTGGTTTTTGAGCACAATGGTCTGGTTTTACAGTTGGGTTTAATTATTTTTTCATATATTTTTTCCATCACACATCTCCTTTTGCATGTGGAATTAGTTCACTTTTGCATTTTTCAGTCTACCATTTTTGGCGAGTGTTCAGAAAACTATGAAAAAAGTAATGTCTGTTGCCAGCCCACATCACTCAGCGGATACAACTGCTGTGTAATTAAAGAAAGGATATCTATTGGAAAAACTGATGGAGGCCATGCTATTTAATTTGCTTTAGCTTAGACCTGCATTACTAGGTAGTACTAGACACAGAATTTAAAGACACCCAGTGTGTCCTTTGATTTATGCAGATAGGAAAAAAAGGCAAAAAGAGGCCTAGGGCAGCACAGTAGTTACAGGGATGTCTGACACTTGACTCAAGCTGAACTATTAGTGAGTGATGAAAGGGTTGCACTTGATTGATTGACTGATTGGAAAAGGCCATATGAGCATAACTGTGAAAATGGGGAAAAGCCAGAATCGTCACTAAAATCACAATTTGATTATCTCTGCCTGCCTACAGCACATTACTGCAAGCATGATTTAAATATACCTTTTTCCCATCTCTTCTCTCCAGTATGACCGCCACACTGGCCAGTGTTGGAGCCGCCAGTATTCCTAGCGCTGGACTGGTAACCATGCTACTGATTCTGACAGCTGTCGGCCTGCCTACCCAGGACATCAGTCTGCTGATCGCTGTCGACTGGCTGCTGTGAGTCAGGTGTCTGATGAGCAGGCAATAACAAATCACTGCTCTGCAATCCATGTTAGGGTGCTATAATTAACGTATGCAAGAGGTTGTGAAAATGTTGGTATCACTAAGACGTCGTTTCACTCACTGACACTGATGCCATTTGTCCACTCAGTGACCGAATGCGTACCTCCATCAATGTCGTTGGCGACTCATTTGGTGCCGGGATTGTGGATCACTTGTCAAAGACGGAGCTCACCGAACTTGATGCAGCCGAAATGCAAACGCTCCCGCAAGAGGGGGAGCTCGATTTCGTCCCTCCGCCGCCAATCCTCACGGAGATGGACATGGTCGACCCTCTCAAACCGCCCGAGCTGCCTCCTCGTTCCCCTCGCCCACCCAAACAAAACCACCACAGTCACATACTCTCCCAATCCCACTCCATCACTTACTCGCCATCCCGTTCTGTCCGGTCTCCGTCACCACGCTCCATCAGTTCTCCCTCTCCGCGTTCCGTCTGTTCCCACTCTCCCAGGCCTTTCCGTACTCATTCCCCACGCCTCCTGCGCAGGACAGAGCCGGGATATTGTGTCCTGCCCAGCCATGACAATCAGGTACGTACTGTCTACCTTATACTTTAAAGACAGATGGCAGTTAGTACATACATTAGAAATCTAAATCTTCTTGTTATCCTTGTTATTTAGCATAGAGTTTGTTGAATATTACGAATATGTGTCTATAGTTTTGTAACTTGTAATTGACCAAATGTTTGATGTTTTAATGTTTTAATAGGGTCATTTTACCAGTTCAGTATAAATATACCAAAAGCTTAGCCTTGACACTACTCTAAAGGCTTTTTTTTTTCAATTCTTAGCTCTGTATGACATCACAGAAACCCCACTCACCTGCTGTTAAAACCCTCGGATGCATTAAGATAACTAAGGAGTATTTTGAACTGCAAATCATGTAAAGCTTCTCTAATAGAGTATAAAAAACCAAAAATAAAACTACAGAGAAATTAATATAATATGCCCACTTTATCATGTATATTGAAAATGCATCAAAGATTTCTGGATGCAGATAAACACAAAGCCTTGAACCTAATAATATGACTATGATGACATCATCCTGGGAAAGACCTTTAACATTTAGCATGTTAAATTTAAGTATGTTGGTCAGTCAGTGCAGGCTGCATGATCTCATTTCGGACTCTTCATACTCTCAGATTCCCACACTGCCGCGCTCCTACAGAGAGAGAGAGAGAGACCGAGAGAGAGAAAGAGACAGGGAGCGGGAGCGACTGAGGCGAGAGAGTGAAACTGAGGAGGAAGAGGAGAGGGAGAGGGTTCTGGGCGAAGTAAGCGACGGTGAGGAGAGCGATGACACTGCTTACGATCGAAGGCACACCATCCCGCCGTGCGACCTGCCGTGATCAGATTTCACCACCAGCGTGTTTCACAGTCGATTTGTTTCCACTTTTACGACAGGTTTTAACCACTTTCAGCTTCACTCTTCAGTGGAGGTACAGAGTGGGTTGCATTGCTAATTTTTCAATGCACGGATCTTAAAATGTCATGATGGCAATGCAGTGTAATATTCCCAAGAAGGCCCTTAAAAACCAGGCCTGAGACTTTTGCCCTGTGGTTGGATGCTGAAAGAGTTTCTTTTCCTCCTTATCTTATCTACTCCAGTCTTGATTTATAATTTTTCTTCTGAAATCCACCCAAACCTAAAATGTTCCCAAACACATACACGTCCACTAATTCAACTGATGCCAGAGAATGTGAGTCTGCTCTTGATGAAAAAAGTCTGCTGGTGCTCTCACCAGCCTTGTAACGCACAAACAGGAATTCATTTTGCTCAGATTCCCTTTGCTTCCCTTTAAGGAAGTTTTAAAAAAAATGTACTTTTAATAGAAAAGTTTGACATTTTGAGGACATTTGCAGTGAGGAAAAATGTATTCACAGTTAAAGACTAATATCATTAACTGTAAATATATGTAGAACTTCAGGTAGTTTTCAGTGGAAAACGGCTGGCCTGGTTCTCTTTCAAGGTCATAAAACATTTACTAGCACCTTTAAATCTCATTAATTAACAGGTGATGTCTTTTTCTAACAAGTTTAAAAGCTGAATTTAAAATGTGCACGTTTGCTGGATGTTAAATTTTTCACTAGAGTGACAGTTTGATCCTTTCAAAGCCCTGCATTGCAGGTGGTCACCAGTACTGGTGGATTTACTTCACTTTGGAGATAGCCAGGATAGCTGATTCCTACTAGTGTTTTGGCTGAGAAAACTAGCAGGTAAACTGTAGCTTTATAATTAGTATACTGATAGAAAGTACTCGTTTTAATTCTGCTTTATCGATATAGTTCCAAATCAGAACAGTAGTCAACTCAAGGTGCTTTGAGTTGACTACGTTTGAGACCCTATCGTATTTTGGAGCGAAAAACTCCAGAATCAGATGATCCCCTTTGAACAAGCAGCAGGTGACAGTGGGAAGGAAAAACTCTCTTCTGACAGGAAGAAATCTCCAGCAGTGCCAGACTCAGGGAGGAAAGCCATCTGCCGTGACTGGCTGGGAGGTTGGGGAAAAGGAAACAAAGGAGTAAAACGAGATGCTCATTGCAGTCTGAGCCTATTGCAACTTAACTAACGGATGCTCCAGGGTCACCTTGTCGGAAATGAAAGTAGAGTTTTTCACACGTGAACTGACTGCAGCTATGAAGCTTTTCTAGCTGTGACCAAATGTAAATGTGGAAATATAAAAATGCATCTCAGTCATTTCATTTATTAGTCTATAACTTGCCAGCATGAGAATACAGAAGGTATGTGGTTTCCTCCTGCATGCCCAGGCGCCACTCGAATTCAAACCAAAGTGAGAACCAGACTAAAGCAGATTTTTTCCTGTTTTGTGCTACACGTGAAAACTCATCATGTGCGATGAGTTTGTGCGTGAAAGCCGCGAGACAAATAGATCTTCCTATTTAAGACAGCAAATATCTTTCAAAATGTTGAACTAGTCCTTTAAAAATGCCAACTGATACTTTACATCTGGCAGGCAGTATTTTTATACAGTTCTCTTTACATGTTTATCCTCAGTGCTCTTTTACCTCATTCCCTCTGACATCAGTCACTGTTGATGTTAATATTGTCTATATTATCTAGGGTTTGTATTTTCTTTGTTGTGGTCTGGTGTGTGAAATGATGAATTTTAGGCCAGAAGCTGTTTCAATTTTGTTGTTTGTTTAAATTTACTTGTTATTTTACTCTTACTTATTATTTAAATTTGTTAATTGCTGTAAAATATCATCTTCTGTCCCACTGAACTGCCTTTCATTTCAAATTGAACTTCATGAACTGCCTCCCTACATCCTTGAGTCTCAATGCAGAGTCACAGGTCCAGATTGTGTGTATACTGTATGTAATAAAATCTTAGAGATTTATTTAAAGTAACTGCACTTCTCTTGTGTTTCCTCTGCTGCTAAAGGAACTTGTGCAATCTGTGGGAGGATTTGCAGTCAAAGGGGGACACGCGTCAGTGTTTGGTGACTAAAGACAGTGGAAAAATCCTGCAGACAAAGATATTACTGAGTGGAAAGATTGCAACACACACATAAGCAGAATGCACACATTACACACGAGGCTGTAATGAGACAAAGACAGAGATACCAACACACTTAATCCTCTCAGTGAAGAGTTAGAGATGGGCGAGGCAGGGGAGAGTGATGGATGGGAGAGGAATCGGTAGGCGGCAGATGGCCAGAAAGACGTCAATCCTTTTCATTCTTCCCAGACAGCATAAGGGCTTTGTGGGTGATTGCAAGCAAGGCTGACGTTAGCTCAGGGACACGTCAGAGAGGAAAGCTGAGCAGAAAGGTGAACCCCCCCCCAAAGAGCTTCTGCAAAAACTGAAAATCGAAAACTCTCGTTTAGGTTCGTTAAAATTCGAGTTTGTCTCGATCGACATTTGCGGCTGATGGAGTCCAAAGAAGAAAGCGCTAATCTGCCCTGTGGCATGAGAGAGCTGCCCCTTCAGCGCATGACGTGGGGATATCATGTCGCACCATCTGAAGGGAAACGAGGGTCAGGAATTTAATCACTGCAGCTATCACTGTTCAGAGCAGTTTGTGTGTGAGTGTTGGGGGTTTGGAGGGTCACAAGGAGCATCATCTGCTCCTTTCTATTATCTTCACTCCAGCTCTGTTTCAACATAACATCAGAACAAAAATGTAAGACCTAGTAGCCATTTTCATAAACTAGACGAGAAAAACTCTTTTTGCAAAGAAATATATTTAAAGCAGTCAGTATTTAAAATTACAGGTGCTAAGAGGTATTCCTTATAGTATAAACAGAAATACAAAGAATTATATGAGTACATTAATCAAAGTATGAATCTCGCAACTATTTTCATGGCTGAGTGCTCTGAGAAATAATGATCTGATATATCATCATGTGGCCTGAAAGTTTTCCAGAGCTCAAGTTGAAGCCCACAGCTTCAAAGCCAATTTCTAAAAAGCTGCGTGTGAAAAAATTACAACATCTCTTTTAAATAAATACATAACAGAGACAGATTTTGTCTTGAACTCTAAACGAATTCCATCTTTCCCTCTTCACATTCTAAATTGTGTTTTTTTGGTAGCGTAGTATAAAAATAAAAGATAATTTATGCTCTGAGTTCGAGATGGTTTACAAACGTGATGATTTCAAGGTGGAACACATTAATCTGAAGTCTTTCTGGCATATTCTAAATCAGACCCACAAGAAGCAGGAGTGAGCCTGGCAGCCTGGTTTGGTTTTAAAACTCAGTCTGACATCTAGAGGCTGGATCGCTCGGCACATCAGCCTGCAGCTCTGACTCAGAACATTTCTGAGATTTCACAATTTTATCAAAGAACCTGACTCACACTTTGTCCAGTACCATCGCCTCCTGTACACGTGCCTCGTGATGCTTCTGTAAACATGTTTAGACTTGAGCACTCGTCATTACATTTTCCCACAGTCGCTGCACACGGAGTCACGCAGAAGGAATTCGAAAATGCGTGAGTGATAAAATGCGACCTTTGTTGAGTAAGGAAAGATGTATACATGATCATCTGCACTCAGAATACAAACAGGTAACACTATGCCCACATGCTCAAGATAACTTACAAAACCAGCTTTTAAAGTCTGAAATGATTCATGTTCCTTACTTGTTCTATTCAGCTAATACTCGTTACAAAATCAAGGACCCATATCTCTCTTCTCTCACTGTAATCTTGGCATCTTGATACTTAAGATTGATTGAAGATTGAAAAAATATTTCTGAATATATGTTTCCCACATCATTTGGCCAGAAGACAGTCTGAAATCTGTACGACTGTATATCATCACACGAGCACATGCCACAATAGATTACACCAGAAATACTTCTGAAGGAATTTTCTTTTTCTTACGCAGGATCGCAGGGAGTCATTCTGAAGAGGGCACCCTCAGAGGTCGCTCACTGCTGCCTTACTGTAAGAATGTAATGACTTGGCGCCTGGAGACTCCTCCAGAGCTCCTCTTTACTAATTTTAGAGGAAAGACCTTGCATAGTTCACATGCCCTGTCTGTTGTGTGAGATCTGCCACTTACGTAATGTCGTCTGAGACTGACGTATAGAAAGGAATGCACGGCTTCAATGCCTTTTTCTGTGTAAATACTGCCTGTTATCACAAAGGTTTTCTTATTCGACAGTGTGTACACTCGCGTCAGCTGTTTTCTATTCTTCTCAGATGAGTTTCTGTGTAAGACATTAGCTGATTTCATTGTGCGTCAAATGACCCGTTCACACAAGATTCATTTCATAATGCATACTGATAAAAAAAAAAAAAACATAAAGATGAATGGAAACCATGCTGTTTTAGCAGCTGAAACTACCTTTTATGTCCTCTTTAAACTCATACAGGAGTACCTTTTTAAATTTGCTACATCTAAAATGTTCTAATCAGATCTTTATACCATACTTGGTTTAGGGAGGAAGCATTTCCTGCAACGGCACCTGCCTCTGAAAGTTGCCAACTCTTCATCCACTCAGTACTAAGAGGACAATATTTGAGTAAGTGGGCTACAAACATTGTACAGATGTGGACAACCAGCCTGTCTGGTGTGGTTACTCAGTTGTGAAACCACATATACTTCAAGATTTAGGTGATTCCTGGTTTGATTTGTAAAATTACAATAAAAGTCTATAAATATAAAGTCTATAATTTAAAAAAACAGACATTTTCATGACTTTCGCATTGTATTATCCATCTTCTTCTACTTATTTGGGGCTGGGTGCGGGGGCAGCGGCAGAAAAGCCCAGACCTCCCTCTCCCCAGACACCTCCTCCAGCTTGTCCTGCAGGCCAGCCGAGAGATATAATCCCTCCAGCGTGTCCTGGGTCTGCCCTGCGGCCTCCTCCCGGAGGGACATGCCCGAACCCCCTCAACTGGCTCCTTTCAATGTGGAGGAGCAGTGGCTCTACTCTGAGCCCCTCCCAGATGCCGAACTTCTCACCCTATCTCTAAAGCTGGGCATAACCTGTGCGATTTTTGGGCGATTTTTCAGTTGTGCGACTGTTTTGGGGATCGGCCCGAGTTTCGCCTTAATCATGTGTCGTGCATGGCGTAGTATACATGGGGTAACGAGAAGCGATTAACACCTCACGACCAGCTCCCGATCAGCAATCGTATGGTCGCAAGAAAATCAAACCTGTTTGAAATCCTGTCGCCCCTCGTCAGGATATCAATGCAACCTCTCACATCCTCTCACACTGCGCATGCGCAAACACAGAAATGGAAGTAAAAAAGATGGAGTAGCATGGCAGCGCAGTGTTAGAACTTTGGCAAGCTCATCCGAGCCGTTTCGATGTGGTCTAACAAAATCATCTCGACCGCAACAACCGTGAAAAGAGTTGGATGGACACTGCTGCTCAACTGCAGCTGCCTGGTCAATGTTTTTCATTAGCAATTTAGCAAAGTTGATGGTGGTGGCGTGTGTCTGTGTGAGTGAAAGACAGAGAGGGTGAGCAAGATGCAGATTTTGTGTTAAGCTTCATGTTATGGACGCACAGTGTGAGCACTCAGGTCGCATCAGAGCATCAGGCCCTGCATCGTGACTCATGAACTTCTAACCCCTGCGATTCAGTCGTACAGTTTGAGCAGGGGCTGAATAACGCAGCTGAAAAAATCCTAGTGTTAGCCCAGCTTAAGAGAATGGCCAGGCACCCTTCGGAGGAAGCTCATTTCTGCTGCTTGTATCCGCGATCTTGCTCTTTCAGTCACTACCCACAGCTTGTGACCATAGGTGAGGGTAGGACTGGCGGATTGGCGGTGGTAGGATCGACCAGTAAATTGAGAGCTTCGCTTTTACACTCAGCTCTCTCTTCACCCATACCTCATTGTATTATTTTTATTTTTAGTTACTTTCTATTATTGCGATCCTAAAGTCATGTTAAAAGAATAGACTGAAAAATACAGACCAGGAAAATAATCTAAAACCTAAAAATACCATATAAACGATCTGACTGAGAGGG